CATGTCATTTGGGGAGGCTGTTTAGTAATACTGAATGTACCTTGCAAGGATAAATTACATGTAACCAGACAGCCTTGTTCATATTGGTCATGTTGGAAAAGCCTGAGTAGTTTAGACTATTCAAAACTGTGTTACGTACAGATAAGGGTCCATGCCTCTGCATACCAGCATCCTACAGCATTATAGATTGAGTGGTTAAAACAGGCCAAAGGAGTAAGTGTCCAGCAAACCATCAGCATTTTGATGCCTTGTTCTGTCCCTTAACCACTTGATGACAGTGCATGTGTATTTTAATACATAGTATTTGGCATCTGTTATCACTTCTTGTTTCTCTCTGAAGGAATTCCTAACTCTTTTATTTCTGCTTCCTATTTTGAAAGACACCACCTTAGGTTGCCAAGTTCTTCACATGCATGGTAGTAAACACAGGAGTGCAGTGTTGGGAAAAAGGAATGGTTTCCAATTAGTTCACTGTTCTCAAGGGTCTATTGGGACCCGCTAATGCATCTTTATCGTGTTTCTCAGTTAACGAACAAGTCATGTCAATTGACAGTTTTCTAGCTCTGAGTATTTTATTTTTTTTCCTACATGTCTGGAATAGGAATATTGTGATGGAAAAGCTAACTGCAGTACAAAAAAGCCACGGCAGATCTAGCAAAGAAATGGGGTCCCTAGCAGATGGGTGAGATGGGTGGGAAGCACATTTCAGTACAACCACATGGGTGGGGATGTTATTTGGGAGATGAGAAGGAATAGGGGAGGTTAGAGCGATAGTTCTTTGAACAGGGAGGAGAAGACTCCAGACAACTTGTCTCCAGTCCCAGCAGACTAGCCTTAAGGCCAAATTCACTCATCTTTAGGCGACTAGTTATCGTAATCAAGTTCGCAGACTATGATGTTGCGATTTGTAGTATTTCTATAGTATCACATGGGTGTGTTTGTATTCTGCCAGCACCAGAAAAAGATATAGTCCTTGTCCTAAAACATCTGCAGTTCAGAGGTCTGATCCTCTCAGGTGCTAAGAGTCCACAAGTGTTTCTGGAGCTGATCAGTCCTAGGGCATCTGCCAGTTACACAAACAGCATGGGTGAGGACGATGACAGTCTGCCTCTTACAAAGGAAAGGAGACAGGGAAGGAAGACGGCAGGGGACATGAGGGAAAGGATTACCATAAAGTAACGCAGACTGTGAACCTGACCGTAGTGGGCATGAAGTACTGCTGCATTTAAATGAAATGGTATTTTTCTCAGGGGTGCTGGAGCAAGCGAGGGCTTTCCAGACTGAACTGCACTCAGTAATCCTCTGGGGGCCCAGGCTGGATTTCAGGAGGATATTTTCTACACAATTTTTTGATGTTTCTTAAGGCAGGATTTTAGTGAGCGCAGGTTTGCTACCACATGGGTTCCTGTGCAGCTTTTCTATTCAGTGTTCAAAGGGGTACAAGAATACTGATCATCTATGCATTAGGCTTATTACAAGTGGAAATCCTACTCCAGCCCATTCCTGCACTAGTGCGGACTCTGCTGATTTACGCTGTGGTCATCCTAACTCTTTACAGGCTCAAGCTCAGCCTGTCCAAACTCACTGTGATCTGTGTCTCATCTGATCACTGATCACTGTGCTATGTGTCTCTGTGAGGTGGATCTGTCCCACAGAAGAGAGATTTCCCTCCACCAGAGCAGGAGACGTTGTATCGTGTGAGAGTGGGAGCACTAATCACTACCTTCCCAGCAAGTCCATGCTATCCTACGTCCATCTCCCAAGACTTTTATTCTATTGCCCACAAGACAAATGAATGGTGTTGGGCACAACCGGGCTACCATTTAGTAA